AAGAGGGGGGAGGGGGGGGGGGGGGGGGGGGGGTATCACATAGTAATGGCTGTAAAAATCTAGAATGTTTAATTCTGCAGAGATGGAAACAATGAGCATCTCTACTCAGGGTAACCCTCCCACATGGTCCCCTTCACGTATGATATATTTGCACCATCGTTTTACCCAGACCCCAAATCCAGAAAAATTCTACAGAGCGCACTTCGCTCCACTGCCTCAGAGCTGTTTTCCCTTTTCCGCAGGTCCTCAAATCTGGTGCCACAGATGTAATCCTTCATTGGGACAAACAGGTAAAGGTCAGATGGGGCCAAATCTGGGCTGTAGTGTGGATGAGGGACCACTGGCCAGGCCGTTTGGCAAGCACCTGACTGGTGGCATGAGTGGTGTGGGGATGTGCATTAGCTTCATGTATGGTGTGGAAGTGTTTCTGTGGTCTTTCCTACTTTCAGCTTTCAAAGTTGAAGGAAGCCATCAGTAGGAGAGTTGGGCCAAAACATCCATGCGAATGGCGCCTTGGTCATCCCCAGACACAGTCGTAATGATCTGGAGGATATGAATTCCTCTGGACGAGGAGAGCTTGATTGGCGCCATTTAATGTCTTGTCAACAATTTCAATTCTCCCTTTTTTAAAGTTCTTTACCCAACACCTACCCTGTTTTCCCGAAAATAAGACCTAGTACTATTTTTGGGAATTGCTAAAATATAAGACCTACCCTGAAAATAAGACCTAGTTGTGACCATTCCCACGGCCGGTGGTGGCACAAGGGGGAACTTGAAGAGCCGCGGGAGAGAATCAGCGGTGCCAACGATGCCAGCGCTAGAGGAAGCGAGGCGGCACCGGAGGGAGCAGAGCCGCATAAGCCGATGCCTCCTCTATAGCGCCGGCTCCTGTCACAGGCGGAGTGATACCAAATGCACTCCGCCTGTGAGGAATCCATAGTGAGAGTGCGCTTCGCTCATTCTGGCCAGCGATTGGTTACCATATTGCTCTTGGAAAGGTACGGCATCACCTGATTGCCCTGATCACCATATTTTTGTACATGAATAAGTGTGGATTGTTGTACATTAAAAAAAAAAAATAAGACCTACCCCGAAAATAAGACCTAGTGTGTTTTTTTGAGCCAAAAAAAATATAAGACAGTGTCTTATTTTCGGGGAATGTTAGCCGTCTATTCCACCAACATGGGACAGTCCGCTATACAAGGTTAGCACTAGCCATTGTCATGTCCTTCAGTCATACGATGTCACTTCAGGGGAGACTCAAAAAGAAGAGTCAGGACAAAGAAAAGAGCATAAAGAACATCAATTGTTTACATTTCAGGGATACATTTCTATCATTTGATCATTTATGCAAAGAAGCTGATTAAAGTAAAGCATGTCCGTCATACCAGCCAAAGCCACTTCTATATCTTTCAGGACATCCAAGACAAGTCTCTGTCATTTTCTAGAAGACGGCCTCCTTGTTTAGCCTTAACAAGCTCACTTACAGCAGAACTCTGGGCAAAAGTGTTCCTAACCCGGTGGGGCTACCCCTTGTCTCAGACGGCATCTCATTGGGTCACATGTGGGGGGGGGGGCGCCCCTTTTCCGGCCCCAGTGCCCCAGGTTGCTAAGAGCTCTGGCCGGCGTCACACCCAGCTCACTGACATCAATGGTCGCCAGGGAGCTAAGCGTGATGCATCACCAAGTAATGTGCTGACAACAAATCCCCTTCCCCCCGGCCTCAGGTGGCAAAAAGTGTAGGGACGAGGTGCAGGTGAGTATAACTTTTTTTTATTTCAGCAGCCAGACAAAAACATCCAATTAACCCTTTCATTGTGGGGGCAATCGGAGTTACCCCCCTTTTGCCCGGAGTTCTTCTTTAAAGGAGAACTATGAGGTGAGTGCTTTTCACTCACCTCATAGTTCTAGCCGACCTGTGACAATGAGACTGTCACAGGTCGGCTCAGTAGATCGGGAGGTGAGCGAACACATCCCGGCGTTCGCTCACCTCTCGATCCTGTCACGGCTCTCTGCCGTGACAGGGGAGGGGCTGGATTCCCCCCTCCCCGATCCGCCAGCGCTGACTGGCGTAACGGACGGGGGAGGGGGCAGAGCCAGCTGTCAGTCACACAGCTGGGCGGATCCAGGCATAATTGTCGGGATCCGCTTCAGCTGCGGCGTCTCAGTATATAGGGAGCTGCAGCTCGCGGTATACTGAGCCTACGGTGACGGGAGGACGCTAGTTTGTGTCCTCCCGTTACCCTAAGGAGAACTATGGGGGAAAAGCCTTAACCCCATAGTTCTCCTTTAAGCCATCCATACAGCAGTAGAATTTTGTTTGGAAAATCTTTGTTTTTGGAGCATTCTTCCGATAGTTAATGGGATTCAACTGACAATTTTTGGGGATCGTAAGGATGGAAAAAATGAAAGTAGCAGGAGGGAAACTTTTTTGTTGAATGAGTGAAATTCTAACAGTGAATGTGGATTTTGCTCATTCATTCCAAAATGGAATATAACTTAGGAAGGACATTCGGCAAGTCTCTGAAGGCGTTATCGAATGTTCTGATCAGATTTTGTAATATGAACATTTGGAAAGTCTACCAGAGTATGGCCAACCTTAGAGTGTCTCCAGCGGGTCCCCGCAGAACAACGGACACACTTCCTGTCATTCCTGCTTATTAACTCTTTACAAGGTTGGAGGAGCTGAAGGGGAACAAGACCACCAAGACCACCAGACCTGCAGACTGACAGAATCCCCCAGCACAGGAGTCCCACCATCCTCTCCGGTCATACGTGTGGAATGCAGGGAATGTGGACTGCGCTCTGTCAGTTATTGTTTATAGAAGATTTACAATATTTACATCAGAGATACAAAGAAACATTTCCCGTGTAGTAGGAAATATTCTGTTTTTGTTCTTTGTGTATAAACCGGACATATCACTGCTTCCCGTATCCTGTATTCCGGGTGTAACTCTCATTATCTGTATTCACTCTGTATGTATGCCCCCACCATTAGAGTGTAAGCTCCTCTGTACAGAGTCTGATGTGACTGTGGGGGAGGGGACATTAGAGTGTAAGCTCCTCACGCACCGTGACAACCCCTCACCCACTGGGGACACGGCGCACACTCTGCTTTGACTGCAGCACAGCACGGCCCCGCCCACTCACCTATCACGTGACCATGGTGTCACCCGCACGCCCCTCTTGCCTTGTCACACTCTGCTCGCAGTGAATGGGATAGCACAGCTGGAGGGTCCTACAGGGGAGGTGAGCCTGGAGCTGGTGGAGGGCACAGGGGGGGTTAGAGGCTGTGCTCCTGTGCCCAGCATTGGAGGGAGGACTGGCACTGTGCCCAGCATAGGAGGACTGGCACTGTGCCACCACTACTGAAAACTTTACATCTGCACAAGAGGAGTTCTAGTGAAAGCTGCAGCCAAGACAAGAGCATTCAGTGGAGGCTGTTCAATCCTATCCAGCTGGAGAGCAAAGATAATACAGACTGTGCCCCTGTACCCATCAGAGGAGCGGAGATATTACAGACTGTGCCCCTGTACCCATCAGAGGAGAGGAGATATTACAGACTGTGCCCCTGTACCCGTCAGAGGAGCGAAGATATTACAGACTGTGCCCCTGTACCCATCAGAGGAGCGGAGATAATACAGACTGTGCCCCTGTACCCATCAGAGGAGCGGAGATATTACAGACTGTGCCCCTGTACCCATCAGAGGAGCGGAGATAATACAGACTGTGCCCCTGTACCCATCAGAGGAGCGGAGATAATACAGACTGTGCCCCTGTACCCATCAGAGGAGCGGAGATATTACAGACTGTGCCCCTGTACCCATCAGAGGAGCGGAGATATTACAGACTGTGCCCCTGTACCCGTCAGAGGAGCGGAGATATTACAGACTGTGCCCCTGTACCCGTCAGAGGAGAGGAGATAGTACAGACTGTGCCCCTGTACCCATCAGAGGAGCGGAGATATTACAGACTGTGCCCCTGTACCCGTCAGAGGAGAGGAGATAGTACAGACTGTGCCCCTGTATAAGAGGAGATCTGGCTGTGCCCTTGTACCCGGCACATAATGGGCATCATGGAGCTGCTGCTGGGCTCTGCCGCAATGATTGGCTGCACGGTGCTGCTGTGCGAGTTGCTCCGCCAGGTATTCCGGAGGACCCTTCCCGCCGGTCTGGGACTGGAGCTGGCAATGGAAGCAGTGTCCACTCTGCAGCTGTGCTGCTGCACCAGGGAGAACGCCCTCCTGGGCACTAGGGCCGCTTTGCAGCTCTGGCTATCCCTGACGCTCACCTACCTCATGACTGTGCTGCACTGCCTGACCTGCCGGACAGCCACCTGCAACCCCTGCGGCAGTTGGGATCAGTGGCTCCGGGGACTGGTGCGGGGGCCGCGCATCCTCCTCCGAGTGATGGCGCAGTTTGCGGGCGCTGCGCTGTCCCGGGTCCTGGTGCCCCGTCTCTGGGCGCTGGGACTGTCGCCGCTGCACGAGCTGGGCGAGGACTGTGAGAGCTTCCTGCATACGACCCTCCTGTCCGGGGCCTTGGTGGAGATGGCCTGTTCCCTGAGCCTGTACCTTGTCCTGCATCTGTTCCCCCCCGTCACCGCCGCTCTCCGGCCGCACGTCGTGGCCGCCACCATCACTGCCATCGTCTATGCAGGTAAGAGTTCAGTAAATGAAGGCTTTCCAGGTAAATCAGGGCTGCTATCATTTCCTCTTGATATTCTAGGTAGGCATCAACTCTTCTCAGACCTATACATCACAGATGATTTGTACCTCGCCAATTGGAAAATGTAGATGGAAACCTTTTTGTACCAGTGAACAGATCTTCCTGGTTGCCGGGCTGCATCATCTGGTCATTGAAATCTACACCCCCCATCTAAACCCCATTGTATTCACGGACACAGAGAGGTTTTTGGGACAGACCAGATCTTCCTTGGATTTGCACTGAGGTATCTGGGTGGATAGATGAAAGGTACACTAGTACAGGCTCCCCGGGGCCTAACTTTGTGGCGCTTCCCACTTTCATGGGGATGTATGGCACTGCTGGTGCTTGCCACTTAATGGAGATGTAGGAAACTGCTGGTGCTTGCCTCCTTATGGGGATGTATAGCACTGCTGGCGCTTGCCACTTCATGGGGATGTATGGCACTGCTGGCACTTGCCACTTCATGGGGATGTATGGCACTGCTGGCGCTTGCCACTTCATGGGGATGTATGGCACTGCTGGTGCTTGTCACTTCATGGGGATGTATGGCACTGCTGGTGCTTGTCACTTCATGGGGATGTATGGCACTGCTGTCACTTGCCACTTCATGGGGATGTATGGCACTGCTGGCGCTTGCCACTTCATGGGGATGTATCATGGGGATGTATGGCACTACTGGTGCTTGTCACTTCATGGGGATGTATGGCACTGCTGGCACTTGTTACTTCATGGCGGGATGTATGGCACTGCTGGTGCTTGTTACTTCATGGGGATGTATGGCACTACTGGTGCTTGTCACTTCATGGGGATGTATGGCACTGCTGGCGCTTGCCACTTCATGGGGATGTATGGCACTGCTGGTGCTTGTCACTTCATGGGGATGTATGGCACTGCTGGTGCTTGTCACTTCATGGGGATGTATAGCACTGCTGGTGCTTGTCACTTCATGGGGATGTATGGCACTGCTGGCGCTTGTCACTTCATGGGGGTGTATGGCACTGCTGGCACTTGATACTTCATGGGGGGATGTATATGGCACTGCTGGCGCTTGACACTTCATGGGGATGTATGGCACTGCTGGTGCTTGTCACTTCATGGGGATGTATGGCACTACTGGTGCTTGTCACTTCATGGGGATGTATGGCACTGCTGGCACTTGATACTTCATGGGGGGATGTATGGCACTGCTGGCGCTTGTCACATCATGGGGATGTATGGCACTGCTGGCACTTGATACTTCATGGGGGGATGTATGGCACTGCTGGTGCTTGTCACTTCATGGGGATGTATGGCACTGCTGGTACTTGCCTGCTGCATTTAGCTGGATGTTCTATTATAGGCACGGCATGCCTGGCTCTTTTAGGGCCCAGTCACACCATAAAGACCGAGTTCCGATGCGTATGGGCACTGGAACGCAACTCGGCCGGCTCACTTTGTTTTTGTGCGGGAGGGGGCGAGATAGTGCATTGAAGTCAATGGCACCGCAGCCACGCCCCCGCCCGCAGTGCGATCGCCGGCACATTAGTGCCTGCGTTCCGATCCACTGCGATCTGCAAACAAATGCTGATTGGGGCGGGCACTGCTGGCAGTCAAGATGCTGATGTCCGTCATCATCTAGCTCTTTCCTCTACTGCCTGACTGCCCCTGGCCCGCCCATTTTATTCATTGGATTTCAGTTCTTGGAGGCTCAGTCATGGAGGCTCAGCATCACATGTGGACAGTCTACATGCAAATACAACCTGCCTAGGAAAGCCCGCTTCTCAATACTGACGTCCATCCTCCAAAACATTTCAATATTTGCATAACCCCTCCCAAGAGCCAGCCCACTGCTTCTATGCTTGAGGACTCCTGACAGGAGTACTGAGGGTGCTGTGATGTTATCAGGAAACTATATAAAGCACCCTGCTGGCCCCTCCCACCGGCCGTGATCTGCCTGCATTGAATAAAGAAGCTCAGAGACTCAGTGACGGCGTCACTAGGTATAAAATAAAGTATGTAAGGAAAACGTAAAGGTTTTTATTAGGGCTGCGGAAATTAACGATTAATTACCCGATTAATCGTTAACATTTTTGATCGATTAAAATTCTTTTGATCAGTAATGAAAACACTCACCTCTCCGCCGGCTTCCGGGTCTTCCGTGACATATTTAAAAGTGTCATTTTGAGAGAGGAAGGTGGAACCTGGGAAGGGAAAATATGAGCAGATGAAACATGAAATATATCTCTGATGTCAGGTCCACTTTAAATGCAGAGATCTCCCTAAGTCCCCAAATCACAAGAAGCCCCCCGAAGTGGTTTACTTTTTCTGCATCTGCCAAACACATTATCAAGATCAGCAGATTTGGGATAAATAAAGTTCCTGAATGTTACATTGAACATCTGATGACATCAACTCCATGCAAACCCTCCTGTGCGTGTAAGCGGATATCTCTGACCAGGCAACGTACAACGTTTACAGATTCTAAGGAAAGTTCCTCGCTGTGTCCTAGAACAGATATATATATA